TCCTTTAGGTCCAGTATGGTAAACCAAGCCAATTCAGGGTTTAATTTGGTCAGTAAAGTATACAGATTCACCACTACAGGATATAAATCCTCAGTTATTTTGTTGATAGCTCTGAGATCTTGAACTATCCTATAACTTCCATTTGGCTTTTTAATTGGTAGAATGGGAGTGTTGTAATCTGACTCACATTCTGTCAATAGCCCATTCTCAATGATTTTTTCAATAATTGGTCAAATTCCCTCTCTGTCCTCCTCTCTCAAGGGATACTGTTTAATCCTAGATAGTCTTGTTCCTGGTTTTACCTTTACCTCTATTGGCAGTGCAGTTCTTGCCTCTCCTGGCACTTCTGAAGCCCATACTCCTGGATCTATCTGATTTTGTATCTCCTCAAGCATTCCAGCTTTAACTGGGGTGTCTATGAGGACTAGACTTAAGATTTCTATTAATTGCTTGTTCCCTACTTCAAACTCTGTTTTTCCTTTTTTACACTTTATTTCTGCTTCCAATTGTTCTAATAAATCTTGTCTCAATAAAGGTTTTGATGAATTTGGCATATATAAGAATTTATGTACTCCCAATTGTTTTCCTAATTCAAAACTAAGAGGTTTTAGGAAGTATGCCCTTTTGCTCTGGCCAGTAGCTCCCTTTATTGTTACAAAATCATCGTCCACAGGTGTCAAAGCTTGCTTCAAAACAAAAAAAAGTTGCTCCCATGGCTATCAAAAATTCTAACTCTTGTTGTGATTTCCTTAGCTTTAATATAACCAGCGGATCCACTAGGGTGGATTCCTCAGGTCCCCATCAATCTTTTTTGTCATGAGCTTGTACCCTACTTCTTCCTTTTTGTCTCTGTGGGCACTTGTTCTGCCAATGTCCCTGTTGTTTACACCAAGCACACTGTTTCTGCCCAGGGGTCTCCCTCGTCCACCTTGTCTCAGTTCTCTACCTTCTTGTAGCACCACTACCAATATCCTCCTATCTTTCCTCTTGTCATCTTCCTCCCTATTACTGAATGCTCTCCATGCCTCAACCAATAAATTCTCCATATTCCTACTCTCTGTCAACTTCAACATTTGTAACTTCCTTTGAATATCACTTGCTGATTCCCCTATAAACAAAGACACTAACTGTTGAATTCCCACTTCTGACCCTGGGTCCAGGGGAGTGTGCTTTCTCATAGTATCTCGTAATTTGTCAAGGAATTCGGTAGGCGGTTTCTTTTGGTACCTGCCGGATAGCATATAATGCTGAGCAATTGATGTTTTTTGGAATTGCTCTTTCCATTCCTTTTATTACCCAATCTCTGTAGGCAAGGAGTGCCCTCATGGGGATTGATCGATTTGGATCCCAATGTGCATCTTGAAGGGGAAAATGATGTTTTATATCCTCCCCTTTTCCTCCTCAGCTATGTCCCAGGCAGTTTTCATAACTAATTGTTTCTCTGTTTCTGTCAACTAGTCTAATAACAACTGCATATCATTCCCATCAGGGTTGTGCTGTTTAACTAGAAACTGGAAGTGTCTGGCCACTCCCACAGGATCATTCTGGTAGTCGTGAGCCACACTTTTCCAGGTTTCCAGATCAATGGAAGAAAAGGGCACTTTAGTCAGGACTGGCTCGGCGCTGGGTCATACTGCCTCCCTTAGAGGTGCCTGTATTGTCACTTCGTTCCTTTTAGTTCTAGTACAAGAAATCACTGGGCTTTCAGGGGCTTTCTCTCTCTTTCCTTCCTCACTGTCACTGTCCTGAAGGGACAATACCAGTGGCTTATAATATTCTAGTAATTCATCTGTTTCTGGGTTTCTTATTTTATCTGCTTTTGTACACCTCTGTCCCATACTGCATGCAGAGCAACACCTCCTCAGCTTGCCTTTTCCTTCTCTCCAATTTTGCTTTTCAAACGTTAATACTAGTGGATCCCGTGGAGCTGTCAAGCCACAGTCTCATTGACATTCTGAGTGATCCTGAAGATAAAACAATATATTGGAATAGACTGCCTCATCCCACTTTCTTTCCCTCCTAAGAAACAACATCTGCTGTAACAATGTGTTACAATTAAGGGACCCATTCAAGGGCCATTTTTACCCATCCTCCCATTTATAAATGGGCCACCATTGATTGTAATATTTGATTAGAGTTTTCTTATTTGTGCTGCCTCTGGAAGAACCTCCTATCTCCTTCCAATGCATTAAAATATACCCTAAAGGTCTTGCTTTTACAACCTCCTTACTCTGTTTAGCCCCCATCTCATGTATTGACACAAAAAGTATTCAAAGTTTGGATTAGGGTTAGTAGTGTTAAAATTCCACTCTCTGGCAATAAAGATGTCATTCTGATTTACTTTCTGAGATTGCCCCTTTGAACACCGGGCAATTATAGTGGTTTTCAGCATGTGCAATGAGTACACAGAGAAGGGGGAGGCTTCCTCTATCTTGATGGGAGTCAAACACTCCCTCTCTCTCTCTTATATTCTGTTCACTTCATTTGTCTCCGGCTTTGCCCCTCACGGGGAAACAGAACCACGGACTGGAACTCCACGCTCGCTAAGTAGCCAGGCTATGTCTCAGTCACTCTTATTCACACGTGCACTCATTTCCATACATAAAATGTTAATTGCCATTATAACCCTTATTGATGCTTAGGTCGACCAATGCAGTACTCAATTTATACTACACACAGTACCGGGCACTTACGATAGATAACCTTAAGATAAATGACAATTATACGAAAGGATCCAAGTTACTGTGAGGACAAGGATACCGACGCTTGCCCTCTCCACTTAGGGGATTCAAACCCCTACTACCTAGGGCCCAAAAACCCAGGGGCGAGCTTTCATTCTTTCACCTTGTGTAGGATGTCTCCTCACAAATTACAGGTCTCCCTCAAACCCACATACATGGTCCACTGATGGTCCTTGTCTGCTCCCACAGTGATTGGGCAAGGGAGAAAGTTCTTCCCAGAGAAGTCCTCAGGGCACACCAAAGACATCTCCCTCTCAGCCGGTCCTGCAGCCGAGCAGAGAGGGTCCAATCTGGGATGCCAAAATTGATGTGTGGAAACAAACTTTATAACTCTGGGAGGGTATTAAAGCAGGTATGTTTATTATGGGTTGACGGTGGTGGGTGCAAGGGGGATCGCTCCTCCAAGCTTGCACACTGAGGGGTAAAATCATGTATATTCATTAGGTTTCGTAAGAATAGGTGGGAACATTATAATTATTTCTGGAAACTCATTACCATAAATGTCCACCCACTTGTGCCTGCACATTGCTTCCTGGTGGTCGTGGGCCAGGGTCTTCAGGATGAAGGCTCCAAGTCTTCCTCAGGATTGTACTTTTTATCTTTGTTCTGGGAGCATACACAGTGTATCTAAATGGTTCCTGTCGACCTTGAAAGGCACCCATCTTATCAAGAAGTTTCAAGAGTTTCAGTCCCTCCTGTCTGCCAGTTCAGCATTAATCACACATTTTGCAAGGATTTAGACAATACACAAGCTGTTAATCTTGCCACTAGCCCAATTTATGGGGCTTAGTGCGTAAGCAAGTAATTGTTTATCACACATTCTACATCAGTTTGTGACCTAATTGAGATTTGTGGGGAACAAGCAGTAAGCATGAGGCTTGACTATAGCTAAGAGTGTTAATTGCTTATTTCAGAACTCAGACCTCTTATGTGGTTGTACCTTACTTTGCTTATGTAGCAAAACCTCAGGCACTACTGCTGAGGTCTGGCACTCACTTTAAGTCATGGCACAAGTTTCAGGTTCCCTCTTGGCACCCTCTTAGGTATGAGACTTGCAATCCAAGACTTCACCTAATTCCCTTGTCTTTAGCCCTGATACAAATACCACTCTGTAAGAACTTCTCTTGTTTTCAAGTGGACTTGTCCAGTTCAGTTATCCTATAATTCTCCTGTCCCATATTACATCACTGAGCTATTGTTTTCTCAGTTGTAACTGTAGCATGCAAATAGCTTAATGAACTGTTTGTTTTAGAGTCCTGAGAGCAAATGCTCTAGTTCTTAGAGAAGTAAACAGCTTAGTAAATGTGTGTTTAATACTAAGATGTATTGAAAGGGACACAATGGCTGAGTGTCCAAGATGAAAGTTAGGGAAAATACTCAGGAGACAAAAAAGTATTGTAGATACTCTTACCTCACATGCTGAAGTTTCTTGGTAGAAGGAAGGAGGAGAGAATCTTCTGTCTTGCTTGACTACTGTATTTGGCAGCTAACATCAGAAGACATAATGAACATATGGTTTATTAATGAATATGGTTATGGTTTATTCAGGTTCTTGGAAACTCTGCTTGCCTTTGTCTCAGTAAACTCCAGGATCTTCTCCTTCTGTGACATTCTCATCAACCAAAAAACACAGTTTAAAAAAAAAAAAAAAGAAACCTTTCTTATCAAAGCAGAATTACTTGAAAATATGTATACTGAAAAACTTGTGAATTTGCAATGTGGATCAGAAATTCTGACAGGGAGATTTTCTTCAAAGTTAGAGTTACTCTGAGCAGTTTGTACAGCAGTGAACTGTCTAAAGGGCAATGTAAAAATTAATATAGTGATATTACTACTAATTAAGCAGGTTTGGTGTTTCTCTGGTACTCTGGCAGTACTTTCTCTGTCAGTGCAGACAGTCTGTCTGTGGAGTTTCTAGGTGCAGTGTAAGCACAATGGCATTGCTGACCTTAGTTCTACTTAAACTGCAAATATGCCTCTTGGCTAAAAGAGGAAAAGGGAGAAGTATATTGATTTCTTCTAAGTATATTGATTTCTTCTACATAAAGTCTTGAATTCCAGAAATGGTAATCCCTTCAATATTCAAATGTGTTTTATGTGTTTTTTTATGTGCAGGATGCATAACAAAGAAGGAGAACAGAAATTATCTTTACTTAAATAATTACTCCTAATTATTTAAAATATACAATGCATATTGCAATATATACATATTACAATGTAAGAGACAATTGACTTAATATCTTTGTTTTTCTTCTGCAGCCTCCTCCTCAGATATATGATAAACAGCTGGATGAAAGGGAACACACAATTGAGGAGTGGAAAGGTAATCACAGTTTAGAATTATATGGGAAAGGAGTCTTTCAGTGGTGAAACATCTGCATGCAGCTGCCAAGTGCATCTGTGTAAAACTGAAAGAATCCCTTTGACATGAAGAGTTGACATTAGCACTACAAACTTGTGCTTTGGTAGGAAAAATTGTAAGAAATGTCCTGAGGACTATCATTATCTACACAGGTTAATGTTAACACAGGAGGTGCAGATTCCAATGCTTCATTGAATTCTAAGGATATCATCTGAAGAACAGACCG